TTTTTATTCATAAAATCTATAATATATACAATATTATAAGAACATTTTAAATTTAATATTTTCACAATGTTATATATAACTGTGTAAATATTATGAAATAAAATGTCTAAATGTGTGAATATTATGAAACAAAATATGTTAGTTTATTTTAAAAAAATTTAATTATTCATTTTCATAAAATTTATAGTTTATAATAATTCTTTAAGTTCTAGTTAAGAAATAAGTATCGAGACATTATTAGAGTTTATATTTAGGAGTAAGAAGAAGTAAGATATAAAAAATGGAATTGTGTGATCAGAAGTTACATAGGATAAGTTATTTTTAACTTTTAAGAGTTTTAAGAGAAATCAATTAATGATTGATGTGTGGGATATTTCTCAAATTTTAGAATAGGAGAATTTATCTAGGTAACTGAAAGACTAGGAAAGAGTATGGATTTACTTATTTATTATTTTTAAAAATTAAAAAACTAAAACTAATCCAAGTTTTTTTATTTTATTTTAATTATATATTTTTATTAGTAATTATATTAAATTATCTAATTTTTTAACGTGATGAATATAAAATTATTAAAATCGTTTTTCAACTTTTGTTATAATTTATTATTATTATTATTATGTATCTCAATATTTTTTTAAATTGTTTTCAAACATATTTTTTAAAAATTGATTTTTAAAAATTAAAAAATTAAATTAAATCAATCAAACCTAGATAAAAATATGTTATATTAAAGTAATAAAATATAAGAGATAGAAGTGTGAAAGTTGGATGTAAGTGAAGTTAATTAGTGAATTTTCTATTTTTTAACAAAATTTTTTCCTTGAATTCTCACGTATATAAATTACATAATGTAATAAATGGTATAAAAGATACATAGCATGAAATTCATTTTTATTGTCTTTCATTCACCTTAGTTTCAATAGAAGTGGTATAAGTGCTTAGATATTTTAGGACCTATGCTTCATAAATCACGTTTAAGTGCGGTGGACAAACAAAGTAGTTAAAGTGAAGAAACCGACTGTGTCAAACAACATAGTATAATATTAAGAGCGTGATTTGTAATAAAGATTTCATTTTTTAATCAAGTAAACGTGGGTGAAGAATGACTAGTGGTGATAATCATACTCCTTTTATGAATCTTCCAATTCTCACAGAGAAAAATTGGGATCCATGAAATACACATATGTGAGTGTTGTTCAAGTTCCAAGATGTGGTTGAGGTGCTTGTTTATGTACTACAAATACAGAGAAGGTTGTGGCCAAGAAGAATAGACATTGTTTATCATTCATCAATGTGTTGATGATGTTCATTTTAAAAATATTTAGAATGCAACCACTGTTAAGGAAGCCTGGGACATCTTGGCTCGAAGTCGTGCAGGAGGTGAGAAAATCAAGAAACTAAAGCTCCAAATATTTAAGAGGCATTATGAGTTACTGCAGATGGAGGATAGTAATAGAATAAGTGAGTATTTCACCAAAGTATTCACAATCACGAATCAAATGAAGGGTTGTGGAGAATCTATCACCGAACTTATGATTATTAAAAAAAATCATGAGATCTTTGCCATAGAAGTTCGACTATATAATAGTGGCAATAGAATAATCGAAAGATCTATCACTAATAAAGATTCAGGAATTTCAAAGTTTTTTGGAGGCACATGAGATGATATTAGTTGATAGAAATCCCATCAAGAATTCTTAGGAAGCCTTGAAAGTACATCATTCCAATAATAACGAAAGAAATAAGCAAAATAAGTGGAAAGAGAAAAAAAAAACAAAGGAAGATTGGAAGTCAGATAGAGTCGTGCATAATCATGATAACAAGTATGATTTAGTAAAAAGAAAGGATAGATTAAAGAAGAATCAAAAGATAAAAGAAGTATGAAGTGTTTTAATTGTCACAAATTAAAACATTACTCCTATGAGTGTCATGCTGATAAGGAAAAGCAGAAGTATCAAGATACGGAGGCTTATGTGGCACAAGAGGATTCTAACTTTGAACCATTGACCTTGATGGTAACCACCATTGCAGAAAATTCTAATTCTCAGGCTGAGTCTTGGTACCTAGATTCAGGATATTTGAATCACATGACTTGTCATAAATAATGGTTGATCAATTTTCATGCAACAAAAAAGAGCAAGGTTCAATTTGCTGATGATAATATATTGAAAGTTGAAGGGACGAGAGATGTTGTTATTTTAAGGAAGAATGGTCCGCAGACAGTGATCTCTAGCGTGTTGTTTATTCCTAAAATGAAGCGTAATCTTCTGAGCATTACAGTCATGAGAAATTATGACAAGATTGAATTATTTGATGTTAACAAAAATTTGATCTTGATGTAATGCTTGTCTGCTATGAAAAGTGATGATGATAACTGGTTGTGGCACTCAAGATATGACCACTTAAACTTCAAGAGTCTACAACAACTTGGTGTGAAGAACATGGTTTTTGGAATGCCCAATATTACACTTCCAGAGAGTGTGTGAGGGTCTATTTAGCTAGAAAACAAACCATAAAAACATTTCAAGGACATTTGAGCATGAGATCCAAAAACTAGTTAGAAGTTGTGTACTCTGATATATGTAGACCTTTTGCGGTTCCTTCACTGGTTGGAAATAGGTATTTTATTACCTTTGTTGATGAGTTTAGTAGGATGATATGACTGTATGTGATCAGATTGAAGAGTGAAGCATTTGAGACTTTCTTGAGATTCAAAACATATGTAGAGAGACAGTGAAAAAATGTTGAAGACTCTAAGAACAGATGGAGAAAATTCACCTTTAATGCCTTTGAGAATTACTGTCAGACTAGTGGCATTGTGCATGATGTTACTGCATCATATATACCTTAATATAATAGTCTTGCGGAGAGAAAAAATAGGACAATTTTAAATATGACTAAAAGTCTAATCAAGGAAAAAGGCTTGTCATAAAAATTTTGGGGTGAAGCAATATCAACAACTGTTTATATCCTGAATAGATGTCTTACAAAGAAACAGAGTGGAAGGTGTGCCTTACAAAAAAACTAGAGTGGAAGGTGTCATTGAAAGTTGGGTTTGGAGTGAAGTCAACAATTGATCACTTCAAGATTTTCAAGTCACTAGCTTTTAAGTATATACCTGACAAGAAGAAAACCAAATTCTAAAATAAAAGTGAAGTAACGATGTTCATTGACTATCATCCTACTAAAGTTTATAAGTTCTTTGATCTAACAAATGAAAAGGTAGTAATGAGTAGAATTGTTATGGTATTAGAACATGAGAGTTGATCTATAATATTAATGTTTGTATAATACATTGAATTAGTTAAGTTAATTAGTGAGTTTTCTGTTTTCTAACAAAATATTTTCATGATATTCTCATATATATAAATTACATTAATAATATAATAAATAATATAAAAAATACGTAGCACAATTATGAACGAATTCATTTCTTTCCTCTTTTATTCACATTAGTTCCAATAGATGGTACAAAATGAGTGGTTATTAGAGTTGGAAAAATGTAAAAAATAAATTAAATATTTACTTTTTCTAACTATTACCCTAAATTTAGTGTTAGTAAATATGGTACGATGAAATGATACGTATAAAGTGATATATGAAATCATGATTAAATAAAATATTATTTTTTTATTTATATTTGTGATTATGTTTATATATATATATATATATATATATATATATATATATATATATATATATATATATATATATATATATATATATATATATATAACATTTCTGTATGTTAAATTTTAACCTGATAAAATATATTAATAATAAAATATTTATGTAACATTAATAATTTTACATCTTTAGTTTAAAATTTGATTTCAATGTTGAAAAAAATATTTATTTTATGTTTATATTTTGCTCCAAAAAATAATATAAGAGTTAAAGTCATTAATATTCTAAAAATAAGGTCGAAGAATAAAAATAAAAAATAATTTTAGGTAAAGATAAAAATGTATATACTAAATCTAAAAAGAAATTTTAAAAATCTTTAATTCAAACAAATACCTTATTCTAATATTAATTTAATATCTTTTTTACTATACTACTATTGCTAATTATATCTTAAATCAAATACAAATTTATGAAATGTACCATCATTTGCAAGTTCTTTCCATTTATACTGTTCAAAACTATATAATTGATAAATTTTGTCCTTATATACAAATAATAATCGATAATTTTTCTTCAAATAGTTTCGATTATAGTAATATTTATCCGTTTATATTATCAAATTCCCAATTAGTTTAAAACATAACTTAATGCTCGCAACTGAAATTTTTTAAAAATTTTAACGGCAAAGAGATATTATATTATTGTTTGAATAGTAATATGCTTATTTTTTTTTCTGTATTTCGTTAGTAACTATATTATAAAAATAATAAATCATTTATTACAAATACACAATTTCTTTATTATTTGTTAGTTTAGATAATTGTCATCATATATATATATATATATATATATATATATATATATATATATATATATTATAAATAATATTATTATTCGTACTTTGTACAATTTTTTGTATATAATTTATTCACCAACTTTTTGCATGTAAAATAAATTTAATCTTTTTCAATGTTACTTCAAAAATATAAAAAAAAAAGAAATTTTATTATTAGTTACTAAATCATTATACCTTCACGGTAATGATAATACTAGGCAGACAAGTGTAAGACCAACCATAATTACTACAGATTAAATTTCAATAAACAAATTGACCGAATTCTTTAATATATTTTGAACTATATTATTAAATTAGAGTTGAAGTATCATTTAAATAAGCCTCGTACACAAGTATTTACATTACATCAGAATTTTTTTTTTTACTTTAATTTTAACTAAAATAACGTAACATATATTGAAAAAATAATTTTGTCCTTTCAAAAAAAAAATAAAAGGTGCATTGGAATCAGCATCTCAGTGTGCAGAGATGCATATGCATTATTGTTAATATTATCACCCACCACTCGACCACGTGTTCATGTTTTGGACATGGATTTCAAAGTAGCCACGCGTAGGTTCTTTACGAGATCATTGATAGTCAACTTGTTGTCCGTCCCCATCTGCAGAATGGTCATGACTTAACACTGCAAGATTTTAAACAGCAATAAAAAAATAAAAAATGGGTGTGGGAGTATTTATTTCTTATATTATTGTTTACCTGTGCAACAATGGTAACATCGAGTATAGAGTCACCAAAAGGTAGGACACTGCTATTGACAACGAATAGATGAAGGTTTTGAATCTCGACAAGTATTTTGAGCAAAAGACCCTTTTGCTTCTGGCAGTGAATGCGAAGGAGCACATTCTTCTCCGACACTCGTGCTTCCACGCGAGGGAGGCTTTCCCTGCCACACCCATCGTCGCAGCTCAGCCCTGACTTGTTCACCACCACCACAGACTCCCCACCTTTGTTCTTGTTCTCTTCTTCCAGTATTTTCAAACGCTCTTGGAGTTCTTTCACGTACTTTATAGCGTCTCCCAGCACTGAAGCCTTGTCCATCTGTTCATTCACCGGATCCAATTAACCACCTCTTTGTTTTTACCACTTCACCATTATCAAGTTTCGATTGCTTTGCTTTTATCCCATGTCATCAAATATTACTTCAAAACACAAATCCCTTTTGAATCCTCATTTAATTATTCTGGCATAAAATTGCTTACAAGGATAATTTTGAAACAAACTAAGAGTGTAAATTAATGGAAAGAATCTAATGAATAGGAATCAAGAGAGTACAAGGTTCACGGGATGTCTACAAACTATTTATGAACTCCATTATTTTTAAAGGTATGAACCTTGTTTTTTTTTTTACGTAGAAAAACCATTATAAATAAATATTAAAATAATATTAGTATTTCATATATCAATCGATTTAATTTTTAAAAAATTATATAAATGCCATATTTTCTAATTTTACTTAGAAATCAAATTTTAATTCTAGCTAAACTGATTTTAAATGTGTGTTTTGCTAAAAAAAAACCTAAAATAATTAAAAATATATAAGAACTCGTGAAAAAAAAACTATTTTTATCCATTATAGCCTACAGTATAAAATTTACATTTTTCAATTATTTTATTCGAGTAAATATGAAATATTATAAGTAATGAACGAGTAATTTCTTTCAACAAATATATTATCATCTTCAACGGAGTTTTCTGTCTTGTCTATATTAAATTAAAAACAACTTTACCCAATTTTTACGTTTAATAATTTTGTTGTATTAAATTCTATTACTAACTTATTTTTAAAGTTAAGAAACAAAAAAATAAAGTTTTCTTTGGAAATCAATTTGAATTACTAGTTTATAGTGAACAGTACCTTCTTCAAGCCTGGAATAAGAGCAGCTAGAGAAATTAAGCTCTGGCTCAGCTTCTCTCTCCGTTTTCTCTCGGCGATGATGTGATCCCGACCGTGACCGGAAATCTTGCAGCTTCCTTTCCCTTTGGGGATTTCAGTTGCGAAGTTCTGGTTTTCCGGCGAACCTTTTCGGGTCTCTGGGGGTGAAACTGAAAAACCTTTGTTCTGCTCCGGGCTCAGGGCAGCAGAAACAATCCCATGAAACTGAGTGTTCTCGACAGGAAACAAGTTTGAGTTGTCTAGAGACATAATCTGGGAGGTTGGAGAAGAAGACGGGGAAAGATTCGGTGAAAAATGTTCGATGGCGGCGGTGGTGGTGGATGAGTTCCAACTGCAGAAATTCGTTTTCTGCTGCTTGGTGGGCCTCTCCAAATTACTGGTTTCGTCCGTGAACGAGTTCATCAGGGTTTCCGAATATGATGTGTGACTCTCCGAAGACAAAGGTTGCTGCAAGTTCTCCATGGCACTTGCTATCTCAAGAGAAAGTAACTCTTCATCATCTTCAAGCAACTGCAGGTGACATTGTTGTAACAAGTTGCAATCCTCCGTTTCCTGCAACAGCTGTAAAGAAAAAAAAAAAAAAAAAAAGTAACAAAAACAACACTACGATAATAAAAATGGTACCGAATCATGATGTTGGATTGCATGACAGAAAAAGAGTAAAGATGAGTGAAATGATTACCAAATCAGACAACCAGCTAGGTTCTGATGCGTCCATCGAGGTATATACTAAATTTCTCCCGTACTCGTGGATGTGTGAGCTTTTGTTTGAGAATTGAGAGCTTTTCGCGCAGAATTGGACTCGCCATGGTGCCATCTTTATAGCAGTCTAGTCAATTTTTTCGCTGCACTGCACCCACCTACCTGCATCGACGTAAAGAGATTTATAAAATTATCCACAGCAAATGCACGTGGGAAAACAACCATTGGTACATTTGCATATCGTCGACACCAGTTTCACTATTACTCCTGGTAAAACAGACACACAAATACAGATCTGACCATTGTTGTCCATATTATATACCAATTTTACTTGTGAATATATTGAAAGGACAAACATACTGTTAAAATTATTTGTGAAGTCAAAATTAAATAGATTTATTTTGTCAGAAAAAAATTAGCATTGTTTGTTTTTAACTTACGTATAAGGTTCCCTTCAAATTTTCATTGCTGATAAGGGAGGTTGATGGCTAACCTGGACCACAATTTATTTTTTCTTAGAGGGATTACACCGACTATTTAACTATAAATATTTAACTATGATGCACTTAATTCATGATAAATATATAATAATAAAGTATAAGACCGAGAGAATCAATCCATACATATATTAGGAATCAGATCAATCTACTTATAAAATAATGGAAAGAGAACATAATTTCCCAGATTGAAATTGCAAATTAGATAATAACTTTTATAGCCAACCATGAGAGTAAGGATATATTAGTTGATTTAGTTTACCTTTGGTTTAAGTCGAGTTAATTAAGTAAAATTCAATTTATCAATAACCTTATATGATGAGTTTATACACGAGTTAAATTTATACCCTCTTGACTTGTGGCACATTGGGTTGAATATGTGATGAGTTTGGTTAGTTTACGAATTGGAGGACTTTTTTAAATAAATAAAAAGTTCACTACTTCCTAACTTTATTTACACTTAATACAAGGAACAAAATTTATCTGTCTCTATTTGAAACTAATTTTTTACTGTGTTATTTATCTAAACCTTATGGTAAATAATAAACAAGTTTTACCATAACAGTAAACTTATAAGTTATACCCAAGCATATCTTTTAATATCTTATTATTATATTATCTCTGAAAAAAAAACTTATTGGACAAAAATAATAACAATATAATAATTAGTCTCCGATCCAATAAATAATAAAAAACTAATATATATATATATATATATATATATATATATATATATATATATATATATATATATATATATAATGATACCACCTGTTGGTTGAAAACTAAGAAATACGTGGTTATATCATAATAATGTACCCTATAAGTGTAATTAATCCCATAAACTTTATTAGATATTACCAATAAGATTATAATCAATCTATTAAATGAAGCTATAGGAAATAAAAGAAAAATATTTTTAATTACATAAATAAATAAATAACGTTTTCCCAATTACACCAAATATAATATTTATCCACTTCTATATTGTAAGTTATTAATTAATGTTTGTTTGTATTGCATGTGATAAGTATATCATATAATTTGAATTCATAATAAACTAATTTTTAATTCATAATTTTCATTTACTTACATTTATAATAAATAAAATATTTGTATATAGAAATTAGATTTTATATTTATAATGAATAACTTAAATTATGATATAAGATTATTTTTAAATATATATATATATATATATATATTCCAATATTTATTAAAAGAATCTTATAAATTAAACAATATATAAATGATAAAGACTGATAAAGACGTGTAAATCTATTATATGTCATAATTTTTTATATTAATTCATGATTCATTACTAAATTATTTTATTTGTATTTTTCTTAATAAAAAAAATGGTGCAGAGCGTGATGATAAATCTTAGGTTTGTAAAATTTCTTTTATAATTTTTTTCTAATTACTATTTGTCCTGTTATCTTATATTCTCCCGTCTTATTTAAAAAAATTACTTTTTGTTTTCAGAAACGATTTTTAAAACATGATAAGTTGAAAGGGGTGAATAGTTAAAATATACAATGATCTTCACTTTTTGGTGAACATAATCATAAAAAAATATTATTTTATCAAGTATTTGATTTAATTATATATAACTAATATAGTCTCGATGATTTTCTATCATTTAATTTTTGATTGGTGTTTGCTGGTAGTTTATATACTTTTTTTAATTCACGTAAATTTCTTTAAAAATAATCGGGACAGATTAAAATAATAAAATAACTTTACATTTGAATATATAAGACGTTAACTTGAAATTAGTCAACATAAAAAATTACTTAAAAAATAAATTGTTTAAATAAGACTTTCTCAATAATTATCGTATTATAATTGAATATTTTGGATTAAAATAGAATAATTAACTAAAAATAAATATTGGTAAAAAAAATGTTGAGAGATGATTATAATTTTGTAATTTATACTAGTTTTTATAATTTTTATTTTTTATAATTTTTAAAGTATTAATATTTATAATTTTAATTTTTTAAATTTTAAATAATTATTAAATATATATAGTTATATATTTATAAATTTAACCTTTTATTTTTTATTTTTTTATATTTATTTATTAATAATATATTATTTAACTTCTTTTTATTTAATAATATTTCTTATTTAATAGCATTTCGAGGGAAGTCCTTCTTCCACTTAGTTGGACTAACATTGGACTAATATTTAATTTTTTATGTGTTTTTTTTTTCAATTGTTGACCAAAAACAAAAGTACATAACATTTCATTGCTTCTCAAGACACATCCTACTACTTCACCGTAGTCGACCCTACATATTATTTGTATATCTACGAAAATAGGAAAGATAAATAATTAATATAAATAGATGAAAATTAAATAATTAATAATTACAAATATAATTATTTTTAAGCTCTACATATTCAAATATCGAAGCACCTTAGTATTGATTTTCATATTTTTTTATGTTCTATCTTTATCTCTTATTTTTATATAATTTTGATTAAAATATGTGGATAACATATTTTCCACAATAAATATTTAATTAAAATTATTGATTTTATACTGATTATTTTTATATATAATAGTTCTTAAACTATAAGTATTTTTTTTTCCTAACTCAATTTATAATATTATGTGCATTATTCATTCTTAAACTATGATACTCTTGATTAAAATTAGCAAAAGGTTATGACAGAAATTTAAAACAAATATAAGTATTAATGATAAGAATAATTAATTCATGGAAAGTATAGATGTAAGATATATTTATTAACTTTTTTTTTAATGTTGATGAAGAAAATGATTGAGTGAACAAATTTTGTGGTTTGAATTATTTTGGTTTTTTCTTTGAAAGATTACTTCCCAATGTCGTGGTCAGGACAAAGAAAGTTGTGAAAGATTATTAAGTTGGGGCGTTGTGCCCAAAAAAGGGCAACATGACAAAGTATAGTTAGCAAGTTATGGACACAGTTTTGCCATTTCTGACCTACCATATCATTTTTCCAACTATACACGGACTTCATTCACGCATCTTAAAACATGTGGAACATGCCAATTACAACACAACACACCCCTCTTCATCACTTCCAAATCTACCTACCCACAAAACACCACCCTTTATTTCCTTATTTTTTTTAGACAATAATGTTTGAACTCAGATACTATAGACCATTTTAGTGGTATATGCTATTTTGAATTTTTATTACTTTTTGTGTTCCTTCGAATTCGAATATAATTCAAGTAAATAATAAAAAAAATGTCTGTTTTTAATTTAATCTTAATGAATTATTCTGTTTTAAATTAACACTCAAAATTAATGATGTCGTAAAATATCTTGTTGTATTTTGATATTTTAAAAAAACTAATGTATTTTTAAAAGATACAATAATATTTTGTTAATTAAAATTATATTATGAATAAATTAAAAAAAAAACACAAAGAACGATAATTTGTATCAATTAATTTTGACAAAAAAATATTTTATTTTTTCAAGATGTTGATGAAAAAGTTGAATGAAACAGATGATATATATGAAATTGTAAAAAGTTGGTCAGAAAATGCTGTGAACATCTGCAGGTTGGTATGGGCTGTGTCAATGCATATTTCCGATATTATGTCTACAGTATTTTTCAATTTTTGAATGTTATGCCGCCATTGTCATTCCCTCACATCAAGGAAATATGCTTATTTATTTATTTATTATTATTTAAAGAGAAACAATCAACTTATGGACAAATAAACACATTTATATCACGTGGGATATTATGAATTACGTGTTAGTTACAGTGACATAGATTTAACCTACATGTTGCGCTAAATTAGTAGATAAGTTCACGTAAATACTACTTACCTTATCTCTTAAAAAAAATATAGTGAAACTATAAATTTTTCTCTTTTCAAATCTAATTTTTAAATCAAGTATCAAAATTATTTTAGACAGTTTTTTTTTTTACCAAAATTATCTGCTTATCTTAATAAGTTTTTATTGATGAATTTTAATTATTAAAATTAACTTAATTTCATTACCTAAAGTGTGTAAAATTTGTTCATGTCACCACGCAAACATAGCAAGACTGAAGATTTTGAAAGTAAAGAAATCATATGCATCAAAATCATTATTTTCTATAATTAGCATACAATTTTCATGTATTTTCTTATAAGTGAGGAAAGACACAAATCGTACATATTTGTTTCATGAAAGGAGAGTTTCCCTCTCCTACTTTTTGAACAATGGTGCCTTACGAAAGTGTTATTTGTTGAGATAATTGAAATACATAAATAACATAAAATATGTACATGTAGATAAATGAAGAAAATACAAAAAAAAATTGAAAATAAAAATTTTCTCATTCTTTTTAAAAAATATGAATATAACTTCATACAATGTTATAATCGTGTCTCTGCTAATATTTTAACAAAAAAAATTAATATATTTTGGATTAGTATATAATATTCTATTTTAATTTAAAATATTCATTAGACTTCATTTTTAATAAATCTCTCGGTTTTTTAAATCTTTTTTTGTTCATGTGATTTAATAAAAATATTAGCACTTGATTTTTAGTGCAACAATTTATTAATTTTAATTAGTCTTTACATGTTTGATCCCTTAGAAAATAAG